CTCCGGCTACACGAGAGATTGACACTAAACAAACACCACCACGTACACAATGTAAACCACAAGATCTGCACGTCACGCCACTCGACCAGGACCTATTGAAGAGGGTAGAGTAAGTCGTAACTGCGCATGTGCCTATTTGGATTGACTTTAACCTATATTGTTTCAGGTAACACACCTTTTTATCAATTGCGCCCTCTAACGACGAATCATTTCTGTGACGAAATTAGAAACAGCGTTCATGTTGTTTTTATCCGTAGTTGCCCGTCAATGAAAACGTGAGTTTTTTATATAGATTGACTGTGTTTTAAATGACGAAAGACAACCTGAACAAACACAGTCATCGTTTTTGAAATACACACACTAAGTCATTCAGACGTCACAAAAGCTAGTGGGCGCACTTTGAAGAAAGGTACGCATTTGTCAATATGGCAGCAATCATGATTGGTTGGCATGGATTGCAATTGACACCTAGTATTTTATCTTCACGGTAGAATGTTGCTTAATAAGAAAAAACACACCCACACTCAAGGCAGTAACGCACCGTAAGTCAAGTAAAAAAGAAGTCGTCCATGGACAGACGGCCGACGCCGGACATAGCCAACCAGTTTTTGAACCAGAAAACAGCCCCCTGAAATTTACATTTCTAAAATATAACCCCCTAAATTACAAGTTCTAAATCCTGTCACACCCAACACGTATATATATTATATTGACAATGTGCTATTCTAATTTGCGTGAAAATTACGTTTTTACCTGCTTTGAATACGTTTCTATAGAAACGATATCGAACACAAGAGGGCGCAACGCCCAACACTAAAAAAACTATTACTCGTACCACAGTCTGTGCACGAACCATTGCATCGACACCATGCATATAACTGATAAATTTGTATTCCAGTGAATTTCAAACAATGTAATACCAGAAGTTACATTGCGAGATATTTGGTAAAAGGAGAACAACACTCATAGTAGCGGTCATTCAATTATACCTATGACTCCCGGGTCGTTGGTTTAGGTCTCATGCCACTAATTAAATGCCTAGCAAGAACCAATGAAATTTTTTAAATATTATTTTTCTCAGGTGCTCCCTGTTTGAGGGCGTAATCACCTGGGTCAGAGGTGAGACCAACATGTGGTCTTTTGTTTACTACTTAGCGGCTGTGTACCTGTGGGTTTATTCTGTGTCTTGTTTACCTGAGATTTGCAAGAGTTTGAGCTGGCCAACATGTTAGTTTTTTTCATATGGTTGATTACTGGCATGTTGATTTCCCATTTTTGAGCCATATTTTCAACTTTCCTCGTCATTTTCATATAGCAATCTCGTCATATGTTAACATTGTCGTCTATGGAAATTCAATTAGTGGTATGAGCCCTTTAGGCATGGACGTACGTCCATGGTTTAGGGCCCACGTTGGTCGCCATTTTGTTAGCAGTATTCAGTTTCGGTTCTAAATACAATTATCCCATGGCAGGGAACCCTGTAATGCCGTTGACTGAGCCGATTTGTTAAGGTCGCCAATTGTGTCATACTAGTACTCAGTTTTATGAATTGTTTTCAATTTTGTATTGCAGGTAAAGTGCGCCACCTAAGTTAGCGAGCCAGAATATGGAGATGTTTGTTATCTGTCGGGAGGGTCGTCACCTGCGCACGCGCGGGAATTGAGTCCCAAGCGACGATAACAACACACGCGAAAAACACAAAGGCTCATGGGTAGGCGCTTGTTTGTAAACAACGACACGCTATGGACATCTAACGCATGCGCAGGTGAAGACTCCCCCACTTTAATCAACAGTAAAGAACACGTGTGTTACAAAACAAAATGAACATTTTAGCATAGCGACCATAAGTAAACTTGATTTTAAACCAATGTGAATATTTTAGCTCAAAATACAATTTGTTTTCTACAGTATCCATCAAAATCTTGTTAGTCGGATGCGTTAAGGTGACACATTTTACCAACTAGCTGAATGCGAAATTTCTTAAAAGCACTGCACATTTGTGATATTTTGCCAAAGGCTACATAAAATAAATGACAAAGAACACACTATAGCCGGAGTTACCCTGGTAGCCATTTTGGTTTAGAAACAAGTTTAATATTGTTCAACTATTTCGTTCAAAAATGAGTACGGGTTTGCCAAGATAAACAAAACGTGGCAAAGACTTCAAGGAATTCACATATAATAAATTGTACTTGTAATTATGTAGAATATGGGCCAGTTCAATCGAGGAAGAGAAGTGCCTTTTTTTATGCAATGAGCAGTATTGCGTTCTCCGGGTAAGTATACTTATACGTACATACATTACTTATATAATGTAATCATGTAATACTACAGATACATAATGAAGATTATCTATAAAATGATATCCTATAATAGATTTGATCATCATTAATGATGGTCATTAATGCAAGGACTTCGTAAATCACGTTCCATACAGTATTAATGGTATTCATAAAAACAATGTAATTTAAAGGTATCACATTGAGGGCGCAAAGACAATTGCTAAGACCATATCTAAGCTCCATGCTAAGACTTTCTTTGAAAATAGAAAACTGTGCAACATAGCATGAATATTTTGAGATGATAATTATAATGCGATATTTTGCAGTATTTATCATTTGACTTGGACTGTAACATAGCTTATTTAATGGTATGAGTAGGATACTGGGAATTCAAAACGCTTGCCAGCATTCAGACGAGTTTGTACTTCCCTCAATTCAAAAAAATTCAACCAATCCAGTATTTCAAATTATACTCTCAATACCAAATTACTGCTCGATCTCAGAGTGTAATTTTCATGAACATGACAGGATTCAGTCTCCCCTTTCCAACATATATGTCCAATATATCTACAGACAGTGAGTACAAGCACATTCTTATTTTTGAGACATGACTTGCAAACGGGCATTGGAAGTTTTGGAAATCAAATTTGACATGAGTAATACGTAATAATTATGACTCGTACAAAAATAAAGACATAATTTATTAGTTTTGAATTTTACAATTGTGAACTATCAAACATATAAGTTTGTCATAAACCAATGCATCAGACAAAGTAAAATACACCAGTTTGACACATGATAACCAAGACTTTACTGATATAACGTGGTATAAGTCAAATTGTTTGCACATTCTTAGCTTGGTAGGACATTATTACTAAACTACTGATATTGTAGCCAAATGTATCATGATTAGAAAGCAACCCCAAAACATATACCACCAGGGGTGGGTTGAGTAGGGGTATTTTTATTGATTACGAGTGGAAGTGTCATGACATATGCAAGACCGAACATAACACCCAACAAAAGCAGGACCATGAAAAACATGTGTATTTGGATATATTTTCGGAGATACTGTAAAATGACTAATTTTCACTGGGTTTAAATTTCACTGATTTAGCATTTCAGGCATATTCAGTGGGTTTTAAATTCACGGTTGTATCATTTAGATAATGTGTTCTATGCTAAATTTTACATATTCACTGCGTTTTAATTTAGCACATTTTCCAGTCAGCGTAATAAGCAAAATTAAAACCCAGTGAATAATTAACCACTTTACAGTACTGAAAAATACTTTATTTCACCTGGAATTAATTTTCGCTGAATTTGGATGTTTTGTATGGAATTTATTCTCACTCATTTTTGTCGAGTTGAATGTAAAATATAGCGTAAAGTATTGTGCATTCTTTTCAAACTATTGTTTTATTTGTTTAGTTCTCCTTTAAGTAAATTTATGTATTTTTGGAGGGGTGCACAGGAACAGATCAAGGACCCCCATCTTCCATCTACAAGAATATTGGTCAGTCCATATGTACTGGTAAAATATATTTGTTATTACCATATTGTAGTACTCATTTAAGCAATCTGAATAAAATAAGATCCTGGTTAATTTTATTTAAATTTTATTTTAATAGAAATCTTTTTATTATTAATTTTAATTATTATTACGTATTTTAATATTTATTTTTACAATAAATTTGCTGCACCAAGCTTTCACAAAACCTCTAAAAACAATTCTTGCAGCTAAATAAATGTAACTTAAATAAATAATTAAAATAAATAATAATTATAGTAATATAAAAAAAATATTAAAACAAATTTAAGCCAACCAGGATCTTATTTTAATTGTCATCTAAAAGAAATTAAAAACACTAAAACACTGAAATGAAATAAATAAATATTGTTGTATTTATTCACTACACAAAATGTATTTATATAAAAGGATGACAGTGATTCTCATGATCTCATCTAACAATTGCAATTTTTTAAATTTGAGAAACAAATAATCTGATACGCCATTAAGTATTTAACAAAGTCAAAAAATCTCCTTCATGTTGAATTGTAAACTTAACTAGATTGAGAAAGATTAGGCTTATAAAATAATAAGTATAAATATTTCACTCACTTAATAGCATGATACAAAATTACTACAATAAAAAAAAATTGTAAACCAGAAAACTGTAAAGGGAGGTAGTCATCGATTAGCGTGCGTTAAGGAGGTAGTCATCGATTAGCGTGCGTTAAAATTTTGTCTGAATAAACAATGTCGTTTCCACATTGTACGCGTCACCCATATCGAACATGACATAGCATGACAACCGCCACATTTTAAAGGGTGGTAGTCAGTTTGTAACAGTCAAAGTCTCCATCATTGTTTATATGAGACCCATATATCTCGCGCATGCCTGGCGCGACGACTACCGCGCTTTAAGTTGGCAGTGTTGTACACTCTCAATCAGACAAATGTATATATATTTCAATTAATGGCGTCCAAACCAAACTGAGCACATGTGTAATGCATCATGGACACTGATTTCAAAACACATAAAGGTATAAAAAACATTTTGTAAATATAATACAAATTACAGGCTAAACATGAAATGAATTATAACTCTGAACTCTAGAGGGCGCTCAGAGCAGGAAGAAAGGACACTGATATCCAAGCAATTTCATCATAAAAGTAAAACAAGTTTAGACTACATTAGATAATCCATTCTTCTACATGCAAAGTATATACACGTGTCCGTCATGCATGGTTTCTGTTTTTTAAAAATACATTTTAGGTGATGAAGTTACACACTAATAAATAAAATTTACTGGATTGAAGGTTGTCATGGCAATGTGATGTTGGTGCATACTCTCTATATATTTTTTTTTCAATATCACAGACCTGTAATAAGAAATGTACAACAGTCAATATTAGCATCTAATGTTCCTTCTAAGTAATAGGTGGATTCATAGAACACTACATGACATCATAGTTTGGAAAACAAG